TGTCGTTTCAGTGCCGTGTTCACCTGGACCAACCTGCTGGTGGTGGTGGTGGAGCTGTGTGGCTGCGAGCAGGAGGCTCTGGACCTGGTGCCTCTGGTGACCAACGTGGTGCTGGAGGAGCATTACCTGATCGTGGGGGTGGTGGTGGTGGTGGATCCTGGAGTCATCCCCATCAATTCCCGAGGCGAGAAGCAGCGCATGCACCTCCGGGACAGCTTCCTGGCCGATCAGCTGGACCCCATTTACGTGGCCTACAACATGTGATGGGAGCACAGAGGGATCGGGGTGCTTGTGCAGAGTGAAGCTGGTGAAAATTACTAATACTTGATCTAAAGTTTGAGGTTGCTGCCACATTCCCTCCCTCCTGTCCTGGGGGTTCCAGTCCTGGTGGGGTGAAGGACGAGGGGGAAGCAACAGCAAACGTTTGTAACAGTTTACTGAACCGTGAGCTTTAGAGAACTGCAAAGGGGGAAGGAAAGTGTGTGAGCTACGGAATCCCCAAGGCCTTTACAGTAGTGTTACTTTTTCACCCGTTGTACATATTTGTATTTTTATCTAATCCCGGGTTAGGATTCTATAAGGGGTGGGTTTATTTAGTTAAGATAATAAACTATTAAGAAAAGGGTCATCAGAGTTCTGCAGTTCCCTACTCCACGATCTCCTTTGCATCTGGAGCTTGTTCATCCCACGGGATCACACGACTTATTGACAATTGTGCCATGACCAAATCAATAACTTACAGAATCAGAGTTACTTATTCATATAGAGATTTCTGGAATTTAAAAAGAATTTTGCCTATATTTTAAATATGTAAATATTATTATACATAATTCACTTAGATAGAAAATTAACTTGGCTAGCGAGGGCAGCTGAAGGTTGATGTTTTTAAGGACAGGTGACTTTTGTGGTCCTCAGCATCATGGCATTGGCTTAGACACAATGTGAGATGCTCCCACCTTCCCCAGGTTTCTGATTTCATTTGCATCTTTATTCTGGCCAGAATTGTGCAGAACCCTTTGGTTTGAAGGCACATCTTTGTCCAGAGGGCTGAATTCAGCGTGGAAATGGGGAGAAATGGCAGTGCAGGGAGGGAACTGAGGGACAGCCTCAGCCTGGGGCACCAGGTGTGCAAAGGAAAACCATTCCTAGGCTGGCACACAGTGAATTCCCTGCTTGTGCCATTCCCCTGGGATTCCTCCAGCTCCCTGCAGGCACAGCAGGATTACTGTGAACAGCCTTTAGTGGAAACTGGGAGCAAACAAAAATGCTTTCCTCTAAAGAATGGGAGAATCCCAGGTTTAAGTTGGACACAATTTTACTGGAGGATCCAGTAATTCTGGCAAACACATTGTTAAATAACATTGTGAAAATTGCTGTCCCAGCCTTCCACATCCTGTGTCAGCTCCAGCATTAGGGAATGGGAAGAAAGAGAAACCTGAAAGCAGCAGGTACAAGCTCTTCCTGCTGGTGGTTGAGCTTTGACTCAAAATTATCTCTTTTTTTTTTCTTTTTTTAATTCTTCATCTTTTAATAGCAATTACACTTCTCTGGGTGCTAATATATGATTTTGGAAGCTTCAGGAGCTGCTACCAGATCCTGCAACAGGGTTTTTTGAGTCAGATGTGGTATACAGTGTAAATAAACTTTTCAAATGTTCCAGATTACCTCACAAAAAAAAGTTTTTAGGCAGTTTTTAAAAGGTTTGTGGTGTGGATTTGGAAGATCCTGTGGCAGTTACTGGAACAGAGTCCAGTGGATCCACGAGCAAACCCAGCTGTGTCCTTGAGAAGCTCCTGCTGCATCCTGGTGGCTCCTCACTGCAAACAGGAGCTTCAAAACTCAGAAGTTTCAAATGATATTTTTGAAAAATGCTCGGTGGGGAAATAGGAACTGGAAGTTTTGTGGCAGGTCTGGACTTAAAGTTCTTTGCAAACACTTTGGGTTTCAGGTGCACATTTTGGAACCTTGTCTGTGTTTATCCACTGCAGAATATGCACAAAATCTACAAGATATTTAGTTTTAACAAATTGAACACAAAGTGGGGACAGTGGCAGGTCAAAGACTAAAACAGTTGGTCCTGCAGCTTTTTTTGGGGGTGTAAAGTGCATAAAGGGTGTTCTCCCCTTTCAGCCAGAAAATTCCTGTTATTCCGTGTTCTTTGTCACCATTTTTGTGTTTCCTGCACAGCCCAGGCCTGCCCAAGCAGCTTCACTCCAGTGTGACCTTTCCAGGAAAATCTGGTGGTCTTGAACCTTTTTCTTTACTCAAGGCTTTAGATAAATTGTTTCAACAAACATTTTTTGTCCTCTGAAGTAGATTTTACGTCCAATTCCAGGATTGTTTTTTTATTTTTATTCGTGATTTTTCACAAATAAAACCACGTGTGTATTAATTCCATCAAATGTGGCAGGTGAAATTCCTGAAACGGCATTTTTGATTGTGACTGGATCGATCTTTTTTTTTTTTTTTTGTATTTTTTTCCCCTTATTTTTTGGTTTGCATAGGTACTGTTAGCTTCCTGTGGTTTGAGGTTTTACCTTTCAAGTTGCCTGTGTGCTCCAGATCTCCGAGCACGTTCCATTTCTGTGTGCTGGAGAACTGCAGGACACTGCCCGTGGGACGAGAGAACATTCCAGGGACGAGGAGAAGCTGCTCCCTTCGGATTCCCTGAGAGTTTTCTATCAATCCATTTCCCACAGAGAGCAGCAGGAGGAGGGATGGAGCTGGGGCTCTGGAATCCCCAAAATTCCACCCCAGCTCTGCTCAGCGCTTGCCACGAGCCTTGCACAGACCATTCCACCCCTCCCTCTGGAGCTGGCGATGATATTTCCATGGTTTTTGGGAACAAAGCAAGATCTTTCACTCCAGGCATTGGCAGGTGGGCAGGGCTGGGTGCTTCTCCCAAAAATCAGCCTCTCCCCCTGGTGTGGCTGCAGCTCTGGGGTTGCACAGGGCACATTATTCCCTTTTCTTGCCCCTTGGGTTCCAGCTTAACTGCAGTGAAACTGAAAATCTGGGAATTCTTCCCACTGGACTGAAGTATATTGTGTGTGTCTCACTGTTTCTGAATCTTCTCTGAGCAAACGCTGTGGGAACAGGACAGTTGTGTCCCGTTTTGTTGGAATTTGCACTTCATTTCTGGTTTAAATCAATTCAGCTGTGTCCTACTAACTGTCTCCTAAAATAAGGTTATAAAAACCAGATCAATTTTAGCCCTAGATGCCTTTTTTTTTTTTTTTTTTGCTTTTATTTCTGTCAACCTCTTTCTCATTGTCCAATCCAGACTCCGGCATTCTGTAATTATGTATAAAGGTTTTATTTATTTAAAACTAGATTAGTTACATTTTTAAATTTAACACCTGGCTGGACAGTGTCCCATTAACGCATTGATTGTGTTTCCTTTGTCTTGTGTTAATAAATATTGATGCCTGGTTGCTTGTTTAGTCCTTCCAGCGCTGTTTCCATGAAGGAATTTTATTTTTAAGGAAGAAAACGCGGGTTAAAATTGATCCTGGGCAGAGGGAGAACTTGTAAGTATCTTGTATTTTGTATGGAGGAGTGTGGGTGTGAAGGAGCTGGGCTGTTCCTGTACCTGGAGTTTTGGGGATCAGTTTTTGGGGATCAGAGCAGGGAGCGGAGCTGGAGAAGGGGCTGGAGAATCCTGAGGGAGCTGGGAAGGGGCTCAGCTGGAGAAAACGGGGATCAGGGGGAATTTCTGCCTCTGCACAAGGAGGGGACAGCCGGGGGATTCGGGATTTATCCCAGGGAACAGGGACAGGAGAGGGAATGGGCCCAGGGGGGACACAGCAGGAATTGCCCATGGAAAGGGGGTCAGGAATTGGCGCTGCCAGGGAGGGTTTGGGTCCCCTCATTCATGGAGCGGTCCCAGGAAGGGCTGGAGGCGCCGCTCAGAGCCCTGGGCTGGGGACAAGGTTGGATTCCATGGTCTTGGCGGGATTTTTCAACCTCAGGAATTCCGGGATCCTGAAAAAATCAGGTTCCTATTTCTAGAGGCGCTTGGCTGCAGTTGGTGCCTTAGGGGGAACACTGAATTTCCTGTGCTCCCCAGTGATGCCTGAGGAACTGTCCCATGACGGAAGCCATTGATCGGATCGCAGATCCTTACTGCGATCCTAAAACCGCTGTGGAATATCCCCGAGAGGGACCAAATTGCTGTGGAATATTCCCGAGAGGAACCAAACCCCGTCACCTGCCGCTTCCTTAAAACCCCTCAGTGCCACCGGCCCGGCCGTGAGGAATCGCGGCCATGGTCCTGCCACACTCCGGCCGGGACGTGCCGGTCAAACCCGGCCGCACTGCCCTTTGCCCACGGTTGGGCGCGGGGGCCTGGAATTTCGGGAGTATCGGGAATTTTGGGATTTTCGGGAATTTTGAGAATTTCGGGATTTCCCCCGGGCGGTCACGATCCCGCTCGCAGAGCGCGTTTCCCGCCCGCACCGCGCCGTTCTCACCGGCAGGGGCGCTGTTCCCGCGCCGTGCCCGGCAGCGCCGCTCCGCCACCTCCTCTCTGTGGTGCGCCCGGGCGGGGCCGGCTCCAGGCGGCCGCTCTAGCCCGGCGCCCGCGCGCTCCGCGCCGCTGGGGCTCTATGGCGGGGGCCCCTGGGCGCGCACTCTATGGTCGCGGCCCGCCCCCCCCGCCGGCGCCGCTTCCCTGAGGCGGGACCGGGCCGGGACCGGGGCCGGGACCCGGCGGCGGCTCCGGCGCTCCCCACGCGCGGCCCTGCGGGGCTCTGAGGTAAGCGCGGGCTGGGGAGGCCGCCCCGTCCCCCTCGCTCGGCCCGCCCGCCGCTTCTCCCCCCGCGTCCGCCCCCGCGGGCCGTGAGGGGACGGGCACAGGCCGCGGCCTCGGCGCGGCGGCCGCTGCGGAAACCGCGGGGAGTTTCCCCCAGAGCCGGGCCTGAGGCGCTGCCCCGCGGCCTGGGGCTGCTGCCGGGCCGGGCCCGCTCGCCCCGGGACGGGGGAAAGGCTTCTGGGGGGTGACGGGGAGCCCCGGGTCCCGCTCCCCTCAGGGATGGGGGAAAGGTGCTCGGGGGTGGCCGCGGCTCCAGCCGGTCCCGGGCAGCGGTGGCTGGGTCCCCGAGCCTGCCCGGGCACAAACTCGGCTTTATCGCTAACTACACCGCCGTTAATGGGCGTCCTTACCTGTTCGCTATGAATTTTGCCCCTGACCCGCGTCTGAGCCTTGACTTCAGCGCGCAGTGAGGATCGGGTGGATCCAGGATTGTATAAATGATAGAAATGATGGTATAAATGATCTCTGGGCTATTTTTCTCTCACAACCATCAGATCCCTGATGCGGATATAATACTGACATCCTTAGGCTGCAGCGTTTATTCCTGAAGCTCCTGTCAGGGGATGTGCCTGTACAGGCTGGTGCTGGGTGGAGGGGAGTGGGAGAAATCCTATGAGGAAAGTGCTCCTGGAGTTTTAAGGAATAACTTTGTGTGTTTGTGGAATGGAATCTGGAGCAGTGACTGGGCACCTTCACTCGAGACTGCTCGCTTGTTCTCTGGCACATCTGGTGGGATGTGCTGCCCTTTGCTCTGTCTTTTACTGATTTCTGGGAGGAAAAAATGGAATTTTTCTGGATGAGGAAATTTTCTCCAAGTATCTTAATGACAAATTTAAGTAAATAATATTTTCACTGCTGAAAGCAGCTGATTTTGAGAACCCCAAATTCCCCAAGATTACTTAAGCATCATTTAAGAAAACGTTTTGAAATCCCTTTGTACAGTTTGTAAATGTCAGAATTTGACTCCTGTCACTATTTGAGAATAGAATTTTGTGTCCAATATTCTTGATTTCTGATGTTATAAAAAATACAATCAATTGGCTCTTACAGTATTTCAGTGATGAAACATCATTCAGACCCTTCCTCTACTCAGTTTGCAAAACAGAACTTGATTTCTTCCTCTGGTGCTCTCTGTAGCACTTAATTAGGGAATTTCCAGAATTAGGGAATCAGTGGAAATTGTGGGAATGAGTTTTCTTTTTTAATTGTTGCTCCTTGAGCACGTCAGGTGTTTCTGCTGGGTTTGTGTGGTGGTTTCATGCACTCTGAGGTACTTGGAGGTGTCTGTGAACTTTGAGAACTGAAGTGTGTCCCGATGGACTGTGACATTCCTGTCTGTGTCCCACAGGAAGATGGTTTTGAGGCTCAGGTTTGAAGGAGGATGAGTTTTCTTGGCTGGAGGGAGATGATGCCCAGAAATTTAGGAGTTCCTTAAAGCAAATTTCATGAGCTGCTGTTGCAGAATCCTTTCAGTTAAATGACTTTGGAGGTGGAGCTACATGGAGATGGAGACTTTGGGTTTACTGTGAAAATCATCACCGTTACCTCCTGGTTATAAAAAAGTGGTGTTTGTACAGATTGGGACAAAAATCATTCTCAGGATGATAAAGCCTTGGTGTTGCTTCTCTTATCAGTGCTCTGTGACTGCAAAATTCTTCCTTCACCCCAAAGAGAGCACCTGCTTTCAGCTAAATAAATTACATTCAGCTGTCAGAGCAGGTTTATCCAGAGGGTGACTGTGTTTAGGTATTCTCCTTTTTGGTGATTCTTCTGCAGGTTGAGGTTTTCCTCCCATTCCAGGGGGAAATTCCTGGTTTTCCATCTAAATGAAGTTAAAGGCAGGGAAGTCTTGCATGACACTCTCATCCCCAGAGGCTGTGAGATGCAGGATGAATTTCCATCTTGTTGCAATCCTTACTAAATCTTTTTATTGACTGATGTTGGATGGATAATTGAATATTCCAGAGCAAGCAGAGATGAACTAAACTCAGAACTCATCTTTCTAATGGGAAATACTTTATCTTTTATTCCTGTAAGCAGAACTTCACAGCAGTGAGAGAAAGGTCAGCAAAACCCTCTGTGCTTTCCCCCTGGGGTGGTTTTACTGGTTTTGCTGTTTCTTGCAGCCTGTTTTGAGTCTTTCATGGGACAGTAAGATAGAGAAACTAATAGCAGAGAGCAGGGAGGGCAGGCTGTGGTTTTGCTCTACAGAAATGAACAGAGGTTTCTGTAGCACTGGAAATTTATTGTCATTTTTGCTGCTGTCTGGATTTCGGTTTGAGGGGCCTTTGATACCTGAGACACTTTGCAGGGCGCGAAATTTTCCTTTATAAAATCTAAAACTGTGTTTGAGGACAGACAAAGTTGCGTCCATTACAGGTTCATCATTAATTCTGCTGATAATCCTGAGGTGTTGATGTTTGCAGCCATGAGGGAGCTGCATCATAGGCTGGGGAAGGTTTGGGCTGAAGGACACAGAACCCCGGGTTTGTTTTGGCTGGAAGGGACCTGAAGGAACATCTCCCTACCATGGGCAGGGTCACCTTCCACCATCCCAGCTCGCCCCAAGCCCTGCCCAGCCTGGCCTTGGGCACTGCCAGGGAGCCAGGGCAGCCTCAGCTTCTCTGGGCACCTGTGCCAGGCCCTGCCCACCCTCTCAGGGAGGAATCCTGCCCAGTGTCCCACCCAGCCCTGCCATCTGTCAGTGGGAGCATTCCCCGTGTGCTGGCACTCCAGGATGTGCTGTGTCCGTCTTTCCTGCAGCTCCTTCAGCCACTGGGGAGGCAAATTCAGTTACCCTGAACCTTCTCTGTTCCAGGCTGAACAATCCCAGTCCTCCCAGCAGAGCTGCTCCATCAATCCATCCCAGTCTCCTGTATCAGCCACCATCAGTTTTCTCCCTACAAAGCTGCTTTGGTGACTTTTTGGGGTTCCTGCAGCAGCACCCTCAGACAGGGAGGGTGCAGGAGCAGGGCCCTGCTCTGGGGTGGCTCCTCATTGGGCTGCGTGCTGTGGTTGGGCTCAGCAGGGAAAAATCAGTGACTCACATTTCCACAGAAAGCAATGTAATTTCCAGTCTCATAGCAACTGTCCTTTCAACACTTTCAAACCTTCTGTGACAAAATGTTTAACACTCACCCATCAGCTTCTAATGCTCCAGGCTGGTCCGCCCACCAGCCCAGCTGAAACCTGCATTTGTGCATCCCTGAATCCCCCAGAACCCGAGGGGGGATGCTGGCAAGACGTTGAACAGTTAAATATAAAATCTTAGACATGAGACAAGTGTTGCTGACTGCATTACATCAAGACAGAGTGACTCTTAAAATTCAAAACTGTGTTCTCTTCATTTTGATTTCAGTCCCTGGTTTGTTTTTATACACCTTCAGATAGTTTAAAATAGGTTTGGCTGGTGGCTTGGCTAAAATATTTTTGGAAATTATCTTACTTAGAGAAAGATATTCTTTAGTATAAAGAATCTTGGTTTTCTTCCTGAATCATCCTTCAAAGGCAAAGAGAGCAGGGTTAGATGGGATATTAGGAATTGGATATTATAAAATAATGGCAACATTGGAGAGCAAAGAGCTCTCAGCTCTTCAGCACATCCCAGTGAGACCAGAATCACGAGGCCCTGAGGAACTGGGCACCTGTGTGCTGTCCACACTCATTGCTGACTGGATTTCTCTGCTTTTCTCGTAGCTGATGATGGAAGAGGTGCACAAGGGCAGCAGCAGCAGCTCTGTTCCGTCGCAGCCCTCAGCTGTCCAAGGTACAACCCTGCAGGCAGCTCAGCTCTCTCATATTGCTCAACAGGTAAAGCCTGGGCTGGATCTCAGCAAACATTTCAGGCAGTTCAGAGCCACTTCTGTGTGCTGCAAACTATAGAGCCATTCTTAGAAGCAATCAGAGAAGAAAAAACAGAAGGAGGCTAAGAAAAATGTGTTTGTTTGATGGTGGATGACATAAAATTAATTATAAAGTGTTTAAAGTTATTTTTTTGTGTTTGTACAATGCAGAAGTGCAGCCCAGATTTGGGGTTAGTCCTCCACTGGAGCTGCTCAGGAATAAAATGAGGGCCTGGTTTCATTTTTTCCTTAGAAAAAGCATTTCCAGCTCCTTTTGTAGTAGCAGCAATCCTGGGTGCTCAGCACCATGGAAACCCTTGGATTTTAGCCCAACGTGAACATATTTAATCTAATAAACCACATCAACTTGCAAATTGAGGTTTTTCCTCTAAGGTAACATCCATGTCAGAGCTTTAACCTGAATCCCTTAGAACTGGTGAAGGAGTGAATCCTTCCAGGAGGGTTTTCCTGGGAAAAAGCAATGTTTTGCAGCTCATCCACTGTTTATCCTGTGGAGGCAATTGGGATTTTGATGCAAAATTTAGATAAAGGAAAGGAGAGAATATCAGCTGACGTCCTGGGGTTTGTTTCCAGGCTGGTTTCCCAATCTGTTTTTATCTAAAGTTCTGATTGTCCCTTAATACTGTGAGTTATGATACAAAACTGCATTAATTGGAAATTGAGCTGTGTGTATTTTAATGATCCCTTCATCTTATGTATTTCAGGTTAATAAAAGTACTGAAAGAATTTAATTACAAAAGTGGTTATTTACTTAGAATCTACATGTATAACTTGAATTGAATTATTTTTGGTTTGAGAACATATGGAAAGTGAACAATATAAATTGAATTTGAAGTGTAAAGACTTATGGGAGTTCAACATCAAAACTACAAACCCCCTAGGAAGCTGAAGCACTTTCATGTTTTTAATATGTTATGTAATATCACATACTTGATGATGTGACATAATGCCACATTTGATTTTCTCCAACCAGAGGAAATAACGAACTGTTTCAGCCTTTTTCATATGCAAATAATGTCTAAAAAATGTGCATCTTTAAAGGTACTTTTGTGACTTGATTAGAATGAAAATAAGCTGCTAATGGTTTTCCTACACGTGTTGCACTCCCTGAGTGCTGTGGCACAGAGGTTTCACCATGGGTTTTGCTCCATTGTAGATGTCTCTCCGAGGTTCTGCTCCCCTCACAGTGGTTCAGCTTCCTGGAGAGCAAGTCCAGGTGCAGGGAGTCATTCAGACAGCTCAGTCCTCCTCGGTGATCCACTCCCCTCAGGTGCAGACCGTGCAGGTAACTCCACCCCGGCTTTAAATACCCCAAAGTGCAGTTCTGGGGGTGAGAAGGTGGGGAAGGATGTGTAGAGGCTGCTCTGACCCAGCTGTGCCCTGCTGTAGGGGACAGTGAGCAATCCAAGGACAGCCCTGTGGGATCCCTCATTTGGGCTTGAAATTCTTCCTCGTGGGTTTTTTGACTCCACACCTGTGGAGTCAAATTGAAACCATTTCATGTCACCTCCCTTTATGCTAAAATCCAATGCACAGCTCTGTAGTTGTGCCCTGGCACTCAGGTGGGGTCTGACACCCAAAGGAGGGCAGTGGGCAATAATAGAATAATTCAGCAGTGGATTGAAATGAGTGTTTGGGAAGGTGGAGCTGTGTGAAGGGAAATGAGCTCTGGGTGCTCTCTGGTGCTGTAACTCCCTGTCAGTGGTACCCAAGTCTCTGCTTGTGTCCCTTACTCACTTGCCATGTGCTTTTTGTAAGAATCCCTTCCAGAAGGTGCCCAGGGAATCCAGTGGGTCTGTTCCTGCTCCCCTCAGTCCCTGCTGCAGAGCCCTGGGCACCTGGGGTTCCACTGGGAAACCACTGCCCTAAAAGCCAGGAATTTGTCCCTGATCCTTGCCCACACTCCTCACACCACCCTAAATTGATAAGCCATGAGCAGCAGAGCTGGCAGGGACTGTCAGCTGTCACTGCTGTAACTTCAGAGCAGGGACAGGAGAACATTTGTCACTGCTGAAAGCACTCAGGCATCTGCACTGGCTGCTTGGTGCTGCTCGTGTCTCTGTTAAATCTCTCTCCTTTTCCCTCCCCCTGGTTGCACAGTCTCCACTGACTGGATTCGTTCCTTTTCTGTAATTTATGAACTTTGTGGCCTTGGTGGAGGGAAAAACAAAGCACAGCATGAGCAGGTTTTTTTCCCTGCTGATCATAGGGTGCTGTGTGTCTGCAGTTCAGTGAGAGGCTTTTCCCAGAGCTCTGTGCCCTCCTCTGCACTCTGTTGCTGGCACACGGATAAGAGCAAATAAATATTTTGTTCACTTATAAGGAGCATCAGAGGCAAAATTACACTTTGAACTGGATGAGCACACAGTGGAATAACGAAAATTGTAGATAGTACTTTGCATATTTACTCCCTGATATGCTGCTGCCTTAAATATTGTTTTCACTGGATTTCACATTCTCACCAACAAACCCCACTGCTCCTTTTTTACAGAAAAGATTCCAGGTGCTCTCTGTGTTTGTCCTGTACATCAGTGTGCTCCTGTTCCCTTTCTCACCAGGTATCTTCCTTGTCTGAGAGTGAGGATTCTCAGGACTCCTCAGACAGCATTGGCTCCTCACAGAAAGCTCGAGGCATCTTGGCTCGTCGTCCATCCTACCGGTACGGCCGTGGTACACTCGGTGGTTTTATTTGAAACCAAACCAGCAGCCCCTTGCCATGGTTTGCAGTATTCTGCTGCCCTCCAGGTTGTTTCCTTTCCCTTGAAACACTCCGTGAATCTGTTCATGCACTGAACTTCCTGAGCCATCATTGCTGTGAGGAAACTTTGACTCCACTAACTGGAGGTTGGCCTTAGCAGGGTTTTGTAAAGGGCAAAATGTTCACCAGCTGTGATTTTACTCAGTTGTATCATTTGACTGAAGTGAGGAGTGCAGTCAAATGTCAGACTCGTTTTTTCACAGAAAAATTTTGAAAGATCTTTCTTCTGAAGACACACGGGATAGAAAAGGAGATGAGGAAAGTCCTGGGGTCTCCACTGTGGCCTCCATGTCCGTTCCCACGCCCATCTACCAGACAAGCACTGGACAGTACAGTAGGTTACCCAAAATATCCTCACAGTTTTTCTTCTACTTGCCTCAAAATGCAGATTTCATTAGGTATTTGAGTAAGATGAAGGACAAAAGTTGGTTATTATCTAGTAGTCCATAAAATTTGTATATAGAAGTAACTGGTATTTACAGACTTCAGATAAACTCAGTGCTCTGTAATTTTAAATTTTGCACATTAAGTCATTTAAGGGTGTTGGTATGGAGCACACAGCAGTGTTCTCTGCTGGATTTAACCCAATACATCAGTAAAGACACAGAGATGGATGGATGGATGGATGGATGGATGGATGGATGGATGGATGGATGGATGGACGGATGGATAGATGATGGATGGATGGATGGATAGATGGATGGATAGATGGATGGATAGATAGATAGACGGACGGATGGACGGATGGATGGATGGACGGATGGATGGATGGATGGATGGATGGATGGATGGATGGATGGATAGACAGACAGATAGATGGATGTATATTATAGGCCATACCAAAAGGCTCCTGTGGTATCAGAGAGGTACGAAAAATTTAGGATTTGTTCTTTTGATGTTGCCATTTGGTGTTCATGGTGCTTCACACTGCTCCATCGTGTGAGTGGGTGAGGCCCTGGCACAGGGTGCCCAGAGAAGCTGTGGTGCCCCTGCATCCCTGGCAGTGACCAGGGCTTGGAGCAGCCTGGGCTAGTGGGAGGTGTCTCTGCCATGGCAGGGGTGGCACTGGGTGGGCTCTAAGGTCCCTCTAACCCAACCCAGCCCATTGTAGGATACTGTGATTTGCCTGTATTTCCTGCTGTCCATCCTCTTGTCCCTGTGCCTTCCCTTGCAGTTGCCATTGCAGCCAACGGGCTGCAGCTGGCGGGGCCGGGGGCAGACGGGGTGCAGGGGCTGCAGACACTGACCATGGCCAACACCGGCGCCTCCCAGCCCGGCACCACCATCCTGCAGTACGCCCAGACCTCGGACGGGCAGCAGATCCTGGTGCCCAGCAACCAGGTGGTGGTGCAGAGTGAGTATTGTCCCCTGGGGACGCGGTGACACCCCTGGCACCGTCAGTGCCACCTGCTCATGCTGCCCCCTTTGTGTCCCCAGCTGCCTCTGGGGACATGCAGACGTACCAGATCCGCACCACGCCCACCACCTCCTCCCTGCCCCAGACCGTGGTGATGACGTCCCCCGTCACTCTGACGTCCCAGAGCAGCAAGACAGACGACCCACAGCTGAAACGGGAGATCAGGCTGATGAAGAACAGGTATGTGAGGGCACCTCAGCTGCTTGGCTGCTGGGTTTAATCACTGGGCTTGGAAAAGACTTCCAGGATCATAAAGTCCAACCTGGGACAGATCTCCACCAGAGCACTGAGTGCCACATCCAGGATGGGGACTCCAGACCTCCCTGCCAATGCCTGACCATCCTTTCCATGAAGAAATTCCTCCTGATGTCCAGCCTGAACCTCCCCTGGCACAGCCTGAGGCCATTTCCTCTTGTCCTGTCCCTGTTCCTTGGGAACAGAGCCTGACCCCCTGCCCCTGCTGCCCCTCGTGTCAGGGAGCTGTGGAGAGGGAGGAGGTTGCCCCTGAGCCTCCTTCTCTGCAGGCTGAGCCCCTTTCCCAGTTCCTCAGGAGCTCTCCAGCCCCTTCCCCAGCCCCATTCCCAGCTCTGGGTGTGCTCCAGCCCATCCATATTCCCCTTGTTGTAATGGTGCAGAGCTGGAGGGGCCTCAGCAGAGGGGCAGTCCCTGCCCTGGTGCTGTGCCACGCCATGGCTGGCACAGCCCAGGTGCCCTTGGCCTCCTTCCCCACCTGGGCACACCTGGGACTGTGGCAGATTGTGACCCAAACATGGGAAATTGTGACCCAGACAGTGTGGAGAAACCAAAGCTGGGCTTCCCCTGCAGATTGGCTCCGTGTGTGTTACCAGATCCTGCTGAATTTCCTGCTCTGCTCAGGCAGTTTTGGCTCAGTTTTGTTCCTCACTGCAGTTCCAGCTCTCTGGTGTTGGTCAGTGTTGTGACATTCAGAAAACAGATCTCACAGCTAAAATCAAGAACTCTGCTTCTCTGTTGCAGAGAAGCTGCCCGGGAGTGCCGTAGGAAGAAGAAGGAGTATGTGAAATGCTTGGAAAATCGAGTGGCAGTCCTGGAAAATCAGAACAAAACTCTAATTGAAGAGCTAAAAACTTTGAAAGATCTTTACTGTCATAAAAGTGTGTAAGAAGAGAAGGTAAAAACATCTGGGAACTGGTGAAATATCAGAGGAGAATTTTTTTTTTTTATACTGAATTTTTTAAACTAGATGAAAGGTCAAAAATGAAACTTTTCTACCTAGATTTCACAGCTCAAAGACTCTATAGATTTTCTTTACAACATGTTGGTGACAAAGTACAAAGAGGAAACAAGAAAACCTCACCAAAATTCCTGCTGGCACAACTGGAAACTGCTCAATTCAAGATTGCAGCTACGGCAGAAGGACAGTCTCGTGTGGCGAGGCAGGTGATGAGAGTTTCTTTGAAAATTCCTGGGAATGCCTCCAATTAGGGAGGCAAAATTTGGTTACAAAGAAAAAACATGAATGAAACAGAATCCTTGCCATAGCTGACATTATTAGTAACGTTTATAACCAGTGTATGTTTTGATTTCTTACTCTTTTTCAAGCCTTTTTCCTTCAGTTATTTGTCTGTAAATATTTTTATTTTAACCTGTAAGTTGGTCTTTACAGGTGCAGATGATAAAAAAGCTGATACTTTGCTCGAGGTATAAATTATGTTTTTACTCTTTCTCAGATGACAATTTAAAAAGTTGGGATGATTTTTTTTTTTCCATGTTTGCCGTGTTTATCAGATTGGGGAAGGATCTGCAGAAGGCAGCAAGAGGCCTGGTCCTGGAAATGTCTGAGGCACAGAAAATTGTGTTGGTTTTCTTAGAGAATTCAGCACATCAGTGATTTTAAAGCACGGTGTGAGGGACGAGGACTGGTGACAAAAAGTTCTGAAGAATTTCTGAGATTAAACTTCTCAAAGTTGTTCATTTCACAAGAGTTTGTTCTTAGTTCTGGGCATGAGAAACATTGATCATTGAAAATTAGATGGTGTGCTGATCATATCTACAATGAAACACTCAGTGCTTGTCCTGGCTGGGGATTCTCCTGGGCTTTGGAACATGAAACCAAATAGAAGAAAAATTATGTAGTAAAAAATGAAAGATCTATACCAAAGGGTTATGAGGTTCTAATCTCTGGTTTATTGCTGGAAATAGTGCAAAATTACAATTTCCAGCCTAATTTTGTAAGGTAGGAGCTATTTTGCAAAGTAATGGTATCTTTGTAAGCAAATACTATATTGCAAACAGGGAGATGGTTGGTATATTTTGTAGCTAAATTGTGATCTTTACAAAACCTGAAATTGAGTTTCTATACCTATTTTGACAGTTTATATCTTTCATTTTAGTAACCAAATGAAATATTTTGTGAACCAGATTTTCAAGGATATATTTTTATGGATAGTACAAAGTCAAATGAGATCCTCTTTGGTGTAGGAGATACTTGAATTAATTTTGTATGTCTGTAGGAAACTTGCAGAAAAAAACAGATCCTAAAGAGTATTGGGGGGGAAAAAGGAGGGAAAAAAAAAAGAAATTAGGGCTTTTTAGTCCCCAGAGTTGACAATATCTGCACATTAGATCTCATTGTGTCAGAGAGTCCAGTTTGTACAATTTGAATTTGTTTCAGGTGAAAATCAAAGGTTTGACATGATCAGGACTCCTTTACCTGGGGGGTCTCCATGCTTGGAGCCCCCAGGGCTGTGTGCTGTGGGCCTGGCGGGCAGGACGTGGCACTGGGGGGGCACAGTCAGCTGTGGGCCTGGCACTGTGTGGGCACGGTCAGCTGTGGGCCTGGCGGGCAGGACGTGGCACTGGGGGGGCAC